AAAAAACATTCTGTTGGCCCACTGGGAAAATGCCCGGTATGCCTGGTTACCAATCCAGCCCTGGATGAGCGTATATAGGCTAAGTGTCTAAAATGCATCTAGGCTATACAGTTGAAAGCTTACCCCTTTGACTTGCTGTTAATGTTGAATGTAAGAATTACTTACTATAGCAACAGTCAGCTCATCCAGTGATGCAAACTATGCGACTTTCTTTTTTTCTTTTTTTCGTCAAATTCCGTCGTTTTGAATTGAAGTTAGGCTGTCATTTACGTGATTCATGTAATTCATAATTATTGTGACGACAATAGCATTTTTTCTATCTTGCGTTTTCAACATGTCCCCGTAATTTCCTTTCGGGGACAAATAAAGTTTATCCTTATCCTTAACATATTAGGAATACAACTAAAATTGAATGGGTGCATATTTTAAAATTGAGAAAAAAAATGGAAGGTACCTTTCTTCATTTTCATGGATTTTGGGATATTTATAAATTTTTTTGGTCATTGATAAAGTTATGTTTTATTCCCTGTAAAGTAGGAATAAAAACATTTTTGTAAAAATTTTATCTTTTTTTAAAGCCCAGTGTCAGTGAAGATGGTGTGGTCAGGAATTCTGGTGTTTGTAGGAAATGTGAAGGAACATCTCCCAGCATTCTACTACCATGTTGCCCTGATGACTGAGGTAATTCACCTCTTAGGTGATGCAGATGTGGTCAAAAGTTTACATACACCTTGCAGAATAAACTGCTTCATCAGAGCAGAAATTGCAATTTTTTATGATTCTACCCTTCTACCCTCTTATTGCTTAAATTATTAACATTTTGCAGATAATGCAAGGTGTATATAAAGTTTGGACCGCAACTGTGTCTATTGCTTTCACTCAACTGAACCATTTATAATGACTGGATATTTTTTATAACAATTCTTCTGATACTGGTGGTGGATGAGGAGATACCCCCTCACAATGTAGAGCGCTTTGAGTGCTTAGAAAAGCAGAAAAGCGCTATATAAATGTAATGAATTATTATTATTATTATTTTCAATACAACTGTTGTTTTGTTCAGAGTTCAGTCCAATGAAAAAAACGACCCATGCTTTTACCCTGCAAGCACGCAGAGCTTTAAATGTGAATTGGGGGATCGATAAGAAGATAATGCATTATAAAAATCTAAACATAGGGGGTGTGCGATATATATGGTCTGCGAT